AACATCTAGAGCTTGCACTCATCGGATCACTTAGCCATCCTAAGCCACTTACCACTGAAAGGTCCTGCTTAGGCATTTTACATTTTCGATCTGCATCCTAGCGATCTACGATACCGGCACGAGTCCCATTGGTCTCTCGCCGTAGCATTTGGAGCATGCTCTGAATCCAGCAGTCTCCACTTCAACATCTTCAAAGATTGGCTTGCTATTGGACCCTCCTTTCAACCACGGCCAACCGCACTTCGTGGTCCATTGAGTTGGGTCAGCATGAAAACAACTAGGCTTGTTTACTTCATGATATGTGTGGCTATCCAAATTCAAAACCACCTCAGGAATCATGCTCAATCTCATCTCTCTTCTCAGCTGGTGTCGGTCTGGGTAAATCTTGTCGAAATCAGCGATCTTCGATAGTTCCTCCTTGAGCTGTTTTTCTGCTTGCACCCAAGCTTTCTCCATGTCATTCTGTCTTGAAACCAGACTTGAAAGCATCTCGCCAATACTGGCTGCGTCCCTCATTGTGTTCTGAGCCTGGGACGAGTCTTCGTGGGCTTGACCGAGGTAAATCAGGGTGGTGTTGCTGGAGTGCCTAGCCAACCATTGGATTGACGCGAACCCCAAACCTTGGCGGCCCAGTTCCTTGATGCCGGATCTCCTCATGGTGTGCCCCGAGATCTCCTCCACCTTGAAGGATGGTTTTTCTGGATGCTTCAGTGAGACAATCTTTGCCAATCGCTGCATCTCCTTGATGACTGATGCTTTGTCTGCTCTTTGCGCTGGGTCCTGCACTTGCCCAAATAAAGGGAAATGCCCAATGGGCACGTCCTTCAAGTTATTGAAACCTAGCCGCATAAGCTGCAGGTTGACCGCTCTTCTTAAAGTGTGAAAAGGACATCCAAAGTTCTCCAACCCTCGGCATCGACATGTAAGGGTGCGCTTCACGCCAATACCTTGCTGGTCCACCTTGGAGGAAGGCAGAAACAACGAGGCAGATTTCTCAAATTCATCCAATCCGATCGTCCATTGGTCAATGAACAAGGTGGATACCTCAACTTCACGAAGCAACCACGCCATGCCCACCATGACCATTGCTACTCCTTCTGCTGGAGCCATATCAGATCTCTCGCTTTCTTCAGGGTTCCAACCATAAACAGTTACCAACCACTGCCAGTACTTTGGTCGTACTTCTTCCGCCCGCCGAACTTCTCCCGCAGCCCGTTTTGCAGCTCTGCGGATGTCGTTGAGATAGGACTGAAGGGTCTGATCCCAATAAAAACCAGCACGCGTGTGACGGTCCTTGGCCTCGCAGGCATACGAAGCCACACTGCGGTAACCTGCTTCCCTCAGCACTGCGCAGTTTGTGATCAGTGTGTGCGGCGTCAAGGGCAAAGGCTCGATTGATCTTTTCTGACAAATTCGAAGCCACAAGTTGTAGAGAGAGTCCTTAGTGGCATTCGTGGATGGGGCGTAGACCAACTCCTGAAAATGCCCCACTGCCCGATTTGTTCTTGCTTCAGAACTCGCAATCTCCTCTGCTAGAGACGCTGAACCCCTCTCGCGAGCTGATTCACCAGGATCGCGAAGCCATGGTCCTCGTGGTGTGGTCCTGAAACGAACCTCCCCAGCCTCAGTTTTTGTTACCTCGAAACGAGCTGGAGTTCTTGGGGCTATCGACCCAAGAGGGCCCGGCGCAGGCCTTGACGAATCAGCCCTGACCCTGGCTTCTTCGCCCAAAGCAACTGCTACAGCCGGCTCCACAACAACAAGCCCTAGTTCTGTTCTTGCTGCCGCCACAGCAGGAGGGATTTCAAAATCCCTTTCTCTGCCCTCGGGCCCTTCATATGGCCCTGCCCCCCTACGGGGACGACTACGCGCCCAGCGAAGCGCAGCCCACATTTGAGCCAATCTTTCTTGTCGACATGTCTCTTTCTTAACTTACGTGAGTTTTTTAATCCTCACCGGCAAATCACTTTATTAGTATTAAAGGAACTTCCTCATATCTTAAATTCGGTAAGGGCTTCGTCATTCAAAATTTTCTCACCTTGCTCATTGCGCCGCTAAAACCCAGTCGCTCCCTCTAGGCTCCTGGTTCCAGCGAAATGCCATGTCGTTGGTACCTTAGGAGCAAAACGATGCGTGCTTTATTGAAATTTAAAAGCAAACATCTGCACGCCATGCACCTAACCTAACATCTTCATCTTCATATCACGCACCTTACCTTAAAGCGCCACGAACCTTGCCTTAAACGCCTACCAAACAAAAATATTCGGCCAATTTCATGGCTCCGAGAGCAAACAGCCCTTGCACAAAGTCACAAAACAGCTCACGCGCAGCTCAAACTTGATTACGTACAAAGTCAAAGCCAGTTCAAGCGAAACAACTCATGCACCACTCAAACTTGATTCCAAACCTAGCACATGCAAAACAGCTC